AAGAAATGTTTTTTATCCCACGTCAAAGTTAGACAAAAATGCTCCTTCTTGTTCTCTGGAGGGAATTTTGCCATTCTCAAAAAGTACACAGTAAAAGTAGTTCATAGTATTTGTGCAACAAGTTTATGAAGCAATAAATCCTAAAATTATTCTCAGAAATTACCCTGTAATCCAGTTTCCCAGAGTTGTTTTATTGCATTACCGTAAACCTGTAACTAATCGCGCACTCGAAATACAGGGGCGGCTGGTTTGACCACGCAAAAGTGAAAGACGGCTGGCTTGACCGCAGTCCTTTTTGCCGCAAGTTAGCAAGTTTAAAAACAACTCGTTTGGTTTTCTTACAGCTGCATTGAAAGAGGTTTGAGGAATCGCAAAGTACTCAAATCAGGGGTAAGCGTTGTTAAATAATGTTCAGGTATTTTGCTTGCTCAATTATACATAATAGTGGGCAATATTGAGTTATATGAGTTGTGGACACCTGTGCTTTTGCTGAGACATGTAGGCCTATGGTAAAAACGCCTTCTGTGAAAATGTCTTTTTGCTCAAATTTCACAAAATAATTGATAAAAATGATAGGCTACACAGCAAGGCTGACAACATTAATAATCACAGATCCAACTGTAAACCATGTGAACAACAAAACTATTCTAGATTTTAAAACAACGTTTTTTATTTATTTAAACTCGTGGGTTAGAAAGTCCTTTGGATGCTCTGCTGGGCCTTTTTTTCTGATAGTGTCAATGTTTTCCCATTTTAGGAATCTCAAAAACCTGAAGGATTTTGTCCGATACATGGTTCACCGTTTGGCTTTTGGAGTTCACAACAAAACAGGGCAGGAACAAGATCGTGAGGTAAGAGTGCTTTTTGATTATTATTGAATGCTATGAGCTGTTTATTAATTGCCCCAATAGACTGTGATTAACATATACAGATCAGCAAGTACTTATTGAAATTTGTATGGCACATCATTTTTGTATTTGTTTGGTTCTTTAGCGAAGCAGTGGAGGAGGTCTTAATCGTTTCTAAGAGTAGTGGTGGGAATAGTGAATTAGCTCTTAATGTGTTTGTGATAATTGTTTTTTCTGCTTGAAGAGTAGGCCTACTTTGGTTCGCTTTGGAGATAGGAAAGCATTTGCCTGTGGATTGATGGTGCGTGTTGTGTGACATTATAGCAAACAGCTCATGTAGACTTTTAGGAATGCATGTGGTGTAAAACAAGGATGGTAACTATTTGGCATGTGGTATGATAGTTTGTCATGTATAATAAATAAAAGGCATGCTGGTCATTTCATCTGTTAACGTAGTAAATGTAGCATGCAGACAATAATTCCTATAGTTGCCATTCCTTGGACTCGGCATGATCGCTGTGGCTTGAACAAAACCACAAGTGCAAATACATGAGTTGCATCTGATATAAATATGTTGATGATATGTTATAGGTTGCAGTGTTTCCCCTAGCATGGAGTCATAGCAGCGGTGCTAAGGCACGTGGGCCCAGCATAATGTGAGCGCGGAGCGCGTGGAATTTTTGAGTGTGTGCGCGTGCGAAGTGCGCCCCGCCAATTTGTTTCTATGTGTCAGCACAAGAAAGGCTCTTGAGGCCTAGTACCAGGGCCGGTTCTAGACAATTTGCTGCCCTAGGTGAGATTTTAGGCGACATTTTATGTGTAAAGAATAAATGAAAAATCTCTACAAAAGACAAACACACTGCAAAAACAGAAACTTATTGACATAGGTAATAGACGTCAAAATGGCTTCAAATGTATTCAGTATTGTATGAACATGTTTGAATTTGGGGGTGGACGTCACATCCTCTAGGGGGGTCCTGGGGTATGCCCTCCCGGGAAGATTTTTTTTTGAACATTTTACAGTAAAATGCTTCAATCTGGTGCACTTTGAGCACAGAATTACTAGAAACCTGATCTAGGGGGTACAACTCTAAAACGCCCATATGAAAAAGATCGGTTTACATTTTAATAATCAAATAAGTATGTGAACATAACCAATAACCTACCATAGCCAATAACAAATAAATGTAGCTTATTTTAATTTTGTTGTTCATTCATATCTTATTTTACCTAGTTAACCTAGCGCCCACCGTACAGGGCAAATTAAACGTGTAACCGGGGGGAAAAGGGTGTTACATTTACTTAATTATGAATGTGATTACATCAAGGCCGAACATTTGGATGAGCGCCAACATTCAAAAATGTTTTTCCCTTCCCAGACCTACCAGCGCAGCGCCCCCCACGATCTGGCGCCCTACGGCGACCGCCTGTGTCGCCTATGCCACGTAACACAAATAGTGGGATAACCTACCCTTAACGGAACCCCTCTATTCCACACCAGAAAAAGGGTTGACCTTTCAATATCCTTGAAATAATAAACACTCAAATTGTTTGCATTGTTTACCGTAGTATATAGAAATCTTTTATGATGTTATTTTTAACTTCACTTAGTTGGAGAAGGACCTCTTGTTTGAACTAAAGAGGACAGAACACTCAAACGTCCTAACGAAGGAGGTGGACATTGTAGTGACGGGGCAGGTGGACGGTATGTCATCCTGATTGTTCTAATGAATAAATTATGTCGTCCAAAGGGATATATGTTTATTCACCGGCCGCAGTCTCGGCGACGACTTTATACTCGCGGCGACTCCCCGCGGGTCGGTCCATGGCGTTTTTTATGTATTCACCGCTGGTAAAAAGTAAAACTAACAAACAATACAC